TTAGGGTAGTAGTTTTGTCTGGATTGGGGTAGTAGTTTTGTCTGGGATAGGGTAGCTTTTTGTCTAGGATAGGGTATAGTCTCATTGTCTGGGGTAGGGTGGAGTTTTGCCTGTGATCGTATCTGCTAGGCTACGCTTTCAGCGCTAAAATAATGTACCTTTCTACCTTAAGTCTGGGGTAGGGTATGTTAAATCACCAAAATTGGTCTGGGATAGGGTAAGGGTTTTTTTGAGAGTCGTGCCGCACACCCCCACCCAAGTTGGGGAGGTAGTAACCCCCGGGCGATTGTGAAATGTTATAAAGACGGCTAATCTGAAGAGCGCATGACAAACAGGTGTGCACTACCAATTATATAAAGGGATTAGTCCAGCGTTGATATCACACGTATTGTTAACGTTTGGCTGTAATTAGAAATGACCGAAAGTATAAAGGGTTTAAGAAAGAAAGTGTACTACGGCCAAGYACACAAACGCGAAGACCTGAAGTCGAATTGATTGACTACAGTTAATTATAATAACTGCTGTAACCTTTTTTAAAAAATTCGTTTTAGACGAGATATTACTTCTAGTAATTTAAGGTTATAGAGTAGGAGGTCTCTTTGTTCCTTTCGCGACAAAACTACATTGGCTGTCGGTGACTGAGGTTGAGCATTGATTGTTATTATTGAGCTATTTTGATGTTGTATTGTTCCTTTTAAATGGATCAAGAACTAGAAAAGGCGGGCTATCAAGTGAYTTTYGATCCTGACGGTTTCTTTTGAACTGCGTCTTTTTCCATTGTGTTTACCTTATGAATTATTAGTAAATTTTATAATGCTGTCTAGATCCGACAGATCCGCCGACCATTTGTGTGAACATAATGTATTTCATTGCCTCGTGTATTCTCTAGAGAAAAAAACGTCATATTTTTATGTAGAGGATTGATACGCGATCACTGATTGGCCTATGACAGCKCTGTCACACAAAGTTTAAAGATTAATACAACACAAACAAAAACCCTGTATTTGTAGGTTTGTAGTGCATAGTTTTCGTAGGTTTGAAAAATACATGAGTATACGGAATATAGCGGTAAATTTTAATTTATTATAATATTATTATCAACATTCATTCGATTTTAGTTGGGGATTTTTTCATTTCTTTTCCATTCATCGACATAAAGACTTATTCATCAAAATTTCCGATAAAAATTTATTCACCATTGATGTTTTTTTATTAARCTTCGATCCTCGACTTGGTAGCCACGACCCTCGACATGCTACCCTCGAGCCTCGAGCCTCGACTAAAAGACGACCCCATCCGCTAGACGCATGTTATCATTAGAACGATCTTAATCCGTGTCATTTACTAATACTTTTCACATGACTTGGAACTTCTTTACTAACTCTTGATAGAAATGACTTTTTCGTCTGCTACCATTCTGTCCCTCTTCTCCCAGATACCTTAAGTAATGCCCCGAGTAAGAACTATAGAAGCAAACGGCAAAGGAATGCAAGAAGGTGCTAATTTGTATTGTATAATCCATCCATCCCATTGGTTTAAACAAGAAAATCTGCTATAATTTCACAAGTTAGCGCGTTTTCTAATATTTTATTTTATACCTGATTCCGACTTCATGAAAGCTTTCTTTAGCTATAATATTGAGTCAATTCTATGTGGGGAACATAGCAAATTAGAAGCTTCTTTTGGCTATTGTTTTGAGTGCTTATGATTGCATAAGAGGTTTTAATACAAAAGAAACTTTGTTTCAAAATGGAGTTTATCCACATTTTATTTCAAAAATGCGTTACCCATAGTTTGATATATAATCAGTGTGAAAACCAAGACATTTGTATGTGAGGAAGTTGCAATGCCACAGAACAATAGAGAGTTCTACAGTTCTTACGCGCATTGTTACTTCAAATTTTAGAGATATAAATGCAAAAGTTAATTATATTTTGTCTCGACTGGTTCTCATGCTTTCTTTAGTCTACTTGAAAGAAGTTAACTGTTGCCCTTATAGACCCCTTGCAGCTCATGGAAATGCAGCTCCAACTGGAGGACAAAACAATAGATTCTAGTTCCCAAGAGGATAAAAATCTTTTGTTTTGTCCTCCAGATGAAGCTGCTTTGACGTCACATGCAAGGGGTCTATTGCTTACATTCTTGTAATTTTGCAGTGAACAATTTTCTAAAGCTRGTTAAAAGTATATTTGCAGTGAACGTTGATTAACAGATTTGACTGCGATATTATGTTGAAATAATTTCCAGATACCTGGAAATACGCAATAACCTACATGTTACATTCTACATGCAAAAATTGGAACATACAAGCTTTGCCATGCCAACACCCTTTGTCTTCAAGTTTGACCACTGTACGACATCTCCCTCRCTTGTAGGACATGACGAAGCAAGAACCGACACTTCTTCAGAAGAAAACACTCTACTCCATATGTTTACGCTGGTCAGATTTCCCATCAGAGCTTTCCAATCTTGAGTACCGGTTCCTGTCCTAGGGCCATAGCCAAGTTCTATATACCCACTGCTAAGCATTTGGCCTTGATTTCCGGTAAATGCGATGCGCACTGCACCATCGATGTAGAATTTGATGTTGCCACCTGTGTTTTCCCAGGTGAGGCAGTAATGATGCCACTTGCTGTCAGCAAGGTTAATGTTTTGGAGAGACCTAAACAACAAAATGTATATCAGGATATGACCATTTCAGGGACCGCGCAATAAATATTATCCATTTACATAACTAGAAAACTAAACTAACCCTCCCCTCAAATTAAAGATGACTGTCTAACCATACCAATTATGGTCCTACTAAATGACTTAGCTTATAACTCGAATAAGTGCTCCGCTGTCTTGGAATTGTTTAAGATTCTTATTAAAAATGCTTTAAATGGACTTTGAGATCTAAAAGTTGGGGTKATTTTTGGAGAGTTTGAACGAGTTTGGGTCCCTGAGTAGRCCGTATTGTCCACGAAATTAACAAGTTATAAAATCATCCGAATGAAATAGTTTTCCTGGACGCTCCTAGCAATGAACTAGCGGTGATCTTTCTTTGTGTTGCACAGTTTCAACTTACTGACTATCGCTATTTACGGAAACACCAATGTAGCTATCAGTAGCATAGATGGATGCTAATGAACCATAATTCAGCACAGAATATGATGTACTTGAGCTGCTCAGCTGAACCCAGAGAGAAAGCGTGAGGGCGCTCAATGAAGCAAATGGACCATTGAGAAAAGCATAGTCTTGAGCAGATTTCCTTGGGAAATTCAATACTTGTTCAGCCTTGGCCTCTGCAAAAAGAAAAAAAAAATTAAACAAATAAATAACAAAAAAAATAAATAAATAAAATAAAGGCGAGAAAAGTATCAAGGAAGTTTAATCACTTTCACAACTTCAAAAATCATTCGAGGGTTATATTTGAAGCGTTTGAATCTGTAGCCATTAAAACTTGACTCTCTAAATATGATTAAGTGTTAGTGATATGGGATGATCTAATGGTCTTTTTACCTTCACAAGTGACGCATTTGTAACTGTTGCCCTCCGGCACACATGCTAACGGATAGCTGCATGACTTACGACTGCATCKCTTTGGMGGCCTTGCTGGAAAGTTCACGTAGGTGTATCCATCACTTGGAAGAAMGATTTCAGGATTTGWGATGTGGTTACCGTCATGCAATTCGCACTTTCCTTTMTTCTGATGAAAACTGATRCTGTTRCAGCCTTGTTGTGCAGCACACTGATGCTCGCATTGACTTCTGGTCGATAAAGGAACGGTTTTGATCACGTGACCATGAATCTTAAATCCTGGGATCGCGTATGGAGAGCTTTGGCAACTTTCTGACAGAGTTTGCCAGGAAAACAACAAAACAAGGAACAAGGATATCATTTTCAAGATTCTGCAATGTAAGAATGTGCATAAGAAAGATTTTGGCTGAATGTACTACAATTAATTTTCGCACGATCTATAAGTAGACTATTGTAAGAATGTGCATAAGAAAGATTTTGGCTGAATGTACTACAATTAATTTTCGCACGATCTATAAGTAGACTATTGTAAGAATGTGCATAAGAAAGATTTTGGCTGAATGTACTACAATTAATTTTCGCACGATCTATAAGTAGACTATTGTAAGAATGTGCATAAGAAAGATTTTGGCTGAATGTACTACAATTAATTTTCGCACGATCTATAAG